GGGAGGGGGAATATGTGTGTGTGTGTGTGTGTGTGTGTGTGTTTGTGTGTGTGGTCTCTTTTTCTCTTCAGAGACATGATATTCTGAAAACCATTCACTCAAGATCTAACTTAGTTTTTTTTTTCCCCTGCTGGGTTCTGTGGATTTTAAATTTTAATGATATTATAAACTAATTTAAAACATTACTCCATATTAACGTTCCAGAATATGTTAGCTAGTCCAAAGATGCAGAATATCATTTCAAACATAAAATGGATGGAGTAAGATGACGGAGCAGAGGAAAAGGGAGGGGAAGGGAGAGAGGAAGACTTTCTAAAAATGAAGAAGGCCAGCTAGCTGGGGTGAGGATTCCACCCACAATCTCTGTTTGTATACTTCTCAGAGTGCTTCAACCATAGAATCGGGCTGCTGCTTTACAAAGTAAGTATTAACTCATGAAAATCTGATAGAACAGATTCAAAGACGTGGCTATAGATCAGCATCTTTGCCAGTCCTTCTTACCCAAAGTGTTTGTTTTTAAAATAGATATTGTAAAAAGTAAAATAGATATTATAAAAAGTTTATCTAACTCAAATTGAAACACATAATTAAAATGGTTCTAACTTACTAAACTTATATAGTATTGTTCTTAATTTTAGGAATAGCTCATGCTGTAGAGAGATATATCTGAAAGATAACTCTTTCAGTCCTATGTAGCCTCTAATGTTAAAACATTTTAAATTGTTTCTGAGCCAGGCGTGATGGTGCACACCTTTCCAAGCACTTGGTGTTCCAGCACTTGGGAGGCAGAGGCAGGACAATCTCTGTAAGTTCCAGGCCAACCTCATCTAAAAGTGAGTTCCAGCACATCTAGAGCTACACAGAGAAACCCTGTCTTGAAACACAAAACAAAAATTATTTCTGAGATCTGCACTTCTCATTTTATAAAAATTCCTTTTCCTTGCAAGCCTTGTCTTTTGCTTCATTTTTATGTTGTACATACCTGCAAGCATATACAGAGACAGACAGTATTTATTAGAGAATACTCAGCAAGTATTCACACTGATCAACTCTGAGTGGTAGGAATTGGGGTGATTTGTGTCTTTTATTGAACTTCTCTTTGTAAAAATTCATAGGGTGCATGTATCACTGGGAGGAAAGCAAAAACAAAAAGCCATTTCTACCTCAAACTTTGAGATATACTCTTATAAAGTTTCTCTTGACAGTGATGGAGACACTGAGATAAAGAAAACATACTTTTTCAGTGGATCTGACAGCCTGGACAGGACACATTTGAAGTGTTATCTGTGTACTGGGAGTTTTCCTTAGTCCCAGCTCTCCAGCAGAGCAGGTGTTCCCACAGGAGCTCATTAGCATCTGCACTGGGGAGGAGTTTGCTCTATAATGTTATGCTGTAATATTTGGCATATACTAATAATGAGTCTAAGTAAAATGCTGGTTATGCTGTAATATTTGGCATATACTAATAATGAGTCTAAGTAAAATGCTGGTTTTACTAAAAGGCAAGACTGGTCTGCCTCTATATGTAAATGTGAAACTGTCTCTACCAAATTCCTTTATTTACTCACTTAGATGTCTGTGCAAGCGTGGAGGCTGAAGGTCAGCCTCTGCTCTCATTCCTCAGGAGCCAGCTATCTCATTTCTGAGACAAGGTCTTTCTCTGGGAAGTAAGGCTCACGGAGTAGGTTAGATTGGCTGGCCTGTGATCGCAGGGACCTGCCCGTCTCCACCTCCCCAGTGCCAGGATTATACAGGCTGACACTGATATTTTTAACTTAAAATCTGGGGATCCTCTCAGGACCACATGCTTATGCAGCAGCAAGTACTTTATCAATTGGATTATTTCTCCTGCCCTCAAATGCAATTTAAAAATGACCATTTCTTTCAGTTACTGTGGCTAAAATACACGTTTGCCATGTATCATGAAATGCCTGGGTCTTTAATAAATGTTTTGGCTAGTGTCATTCAGCTCAGACAATTGTGAAACATTTTCAAAGAGTACTGAAGGCTGCCACAAATTCCAAACTACTTCATTTTGAACGAATCAATAAATAATTAAAAGTTTACATTCGGGGCTGGAGAGATAGCTCAGAGGTTAAGAGCACTGACTGCTCTTCCAGAGGTCTTGAGTTCAATTCCCAGCAACCACATGGTGGCTCACATCTGTTATGAGATCTGGTGCCCTCTTCTGGTATGCAGATATACATGGAAGCAGAATGTTGTACACACAAATAAATAAAAAAAATCTTTTAAAAAAGTTTGCATTCTGGTGGAGTCATAACGCAGTAAAGC